GGCCAATAGAAAGTCTTTATTAACTGGCCAGCAACTACACTGGGTGTTTTGGATCCCAACATAGCCCCAAGATTTTCTCAGGGTGCGCTTGTAAGCACACAAACCATGCCCTGGGTTGACACTTCAGTTAACAAGAACAGTTAGCCTAGTTTTCCAAAGCTTCTTCCTTCTGCATCCTCTATTATGAGCTGCCATGCCTGGTGTGGCCCAGAGAGAGGACAGGTGCTCCATCCTCAGCCGATCCAGTCAAGAAAAACCCCTCACAGGTGTGCCCAGCTTGGGTTTTCAGTTAATCCTAGATGTAGTCAGGTTGACAACCAAGAATCGACATCACAGAGGGAGCCAAGGCTGCAGGAACCTGGGGCTCAGCTGACCAATGGGGATCTTTGTAGGACACGGATACTGAAAGTGCCTTTGTCAGTCCTCAGCACTGTGGAAACGCACCCTGAGATCCAGAGAGCCCAGGTTTCCACTTTTGGACTCAGAGAATACCCTTGAAAAGCATTAGATCGACCAGAGCGGTTGGCAGAGCTGGGCCTGATGGTGTTAGCATTCTGTTTACTCCTTTGTCTTGTGTGCTCATCCAGGTCATTAGAATGCATTTGATGAAAGTCAAAGGCAGCTGAAGGCCCATGCAGATGCCTGTGCCATTTTCAATGAGGTTGGGTAAAGAGAAGGAACCAGCATGTGGGCAGTGTATTTATACCCATTAAAAGAGACAGTATTTAGCTGGTTATGGTGGTGCGCGCCTGTGTTCCTGGCCCTTGGAACCTGGAGATAAAAGGATCAGGAGTTCAAGGTCATCCTCTGCTATTTAGCAAGTTCAAGGTCAGCTGGGAAGTCTGTGTCTGAATCAGAAGTGCTCCAGCCTTCGAAGGGCATCATGCCCAGCCTCCTTCCAAGCAGAGTTTGTCTTTTCTCAGTGGTTTCAGAGCCAAATGGATGGACTGATAACGCTGACTCATAAGTAACCGCCACCCCCCCCATTAAAGCCACAAAGGTTTATTTGTTCTAACCCTGAATGTTCATGTGGATCAGCTGGGTTCTTTCCATAGCCAGAAGCTCCATGTCCCATGTGCCCAGGGACCCAGGTCCTCCCTGGGCTGAGTTAGTGCTCCCGTCCCTCTTTCTGCAAGGCTTCTGTCCCAGAACCCTAACTAGAGGCGATGAAGAAATGACAGAAACATTTGACGGAGAAGCCCCAGCACTCCAGACGCTCGGTCTGCTTATATGTACCGTCGAGCAGGGGGCAGAGCTGTTACAGACAGATAAACAAAGAGGCAGGGTGATTGCACACAGCTGGACAAGGAGGCCGATTTCGCTAATCACAGCGGGAGCAGGCTCTGCAGAGGAGCAGCTGTGGGAGTCGGGGGAGAGAAAGCCTCGGAGACATTTTCTGCACACTCGGTCAGTACTTTGACTTGGACTCAAGGAAGGCTTTGCCTTCCCTCTGAGTCTCACCTGGAGCTGAGGCATTTGGGTCCTTGTCATGCCCACAGCCATGCCCATAGCATGAACTCACTTAAGACCCCATTTGCTCCATGTGCCGCAGAGGCTCTGATGAGTGCCCATCTATCTAATCAGCCGCTACAGACTGCCAAGTTGAGATCCACACCCTCCTCCCATCTCTCCCACCAGAGCTGCTGGCTCAGCCCCACCAGTTCAAGAGGAGTGCCAGGTCATGTGCCTGAGCGGCAGCAAGCCAAGCACATCCATAACAATCCCAGTCTCCAAGGACCTGAAAACTTAAAAACTTCCCTTTCCGTCCAAGCATCTTGATAATCTGGTATGAATCATTTGCGATTCAATAATTTTACTTCACTAAGTCCAAAACAATAGAGGAGAAAACCCCTATCAACTTGAATAGCAAGAAACAGTTTAGGGGGAAATACAAATTGCAGACTTTTTTTTTTGACGTTTTATGTATTTTTGTTTTACATGTATGGATATGTACCCATGTGCCTGCAGTGCCTGAGGAGGCCAGAAGATGGCGTCTGATTCCCTGAAAGTCGGGAACTGGAGGTCAAGATGCTTATGAATCACAATGTGGTTGCTGGGAAACCAAACCCAGGATCTCTGGGAGAGCAGCCAGGGCTCCCAACCACTGAGCCATCTCACCAGCCCCAAATTACAGATCATTCTCATTGCTTAATAATACCATAATGTCTTTTTTTCCTTTCTTCTCCCCTACTTCTTCATCCTCCTCTTCCTTTTCTTGAGACAGGTCTCACACTATAGCCCTGGCTGGCCTTGAACTCTCCACAATCCCCCTGCCTCTGCCTCTCTAGTGATGGGATTACAGGCACAAGCAAATATGAGCAATGTCTGACTCTGACAACATATTTCTTTACTTCACTGAAGACTGGGAAGACTGTATTTATTTATGGTTACTCTTTGATTCTATGCTTTTATTTGAATATCCAATAACACTGTGTATTCCCAGACACTTTGGAGGCTGAGGTTGAGAGGATCCTGTACCCAATAGTTTGAGGTCAGCCTGGGTAGCAGATGATATCCTGCCCCCCATTCCCCCCGAGTAGGCATGGTGGCAATCCCAGTACTTGGGAGGAAGAGGCAGGAAGATTAGGAATTCATGGTCACCCTTGGCTACATGCTGAGTTCAAGGCCCATCTGGTCTATGTGAGACCTTGTCTTTTTTCATTATTTATTTGTTATGTGTATGTCTGTGTCTGAGTATGCATACATGATATGCATACATGATGTATGAGTATGTATGAGTATGCATACATGATGTATGAGTATGTATGAGTATGCATACATGATGTATGAAAATGTATGAGTATGTGTACATAATATGGTGCCTTTGGAAGCCAGAAGAGGGCATCAGATCCCCTAAAACTATTGTCACAAATAGTTCTGCTCTGCCTGCTGTGGGGGGGAGAGCTGAACTCGGATTGTAGGGGAGAGCAGCGAGTAATTTTAACCACTGAGCCATCTCTTCAGCCCTCAAGATCAACTTAAAAGTGTGTGTGTGTCAGGGGGGTCAAGCCATTTGGAAACGTGGATCAAGAGTTCTGTTTACTTCCTGGGAACCCACTGGGACACATCACTTTTCTTAGATGTTTGGTGAGGATTATGTTATGACTATTTTATTATAGTTATTATTCCTCTTTTATATGGGAGAGAAACAAGGTACAGGGAGGTTAAGTAACTTGGCCAGAGTCACACAGTCAGCAAGTCCCATGTTACATTGCGTCCCAGTATTATTAGAGACAGTTCTGTTCTGCTCCCTAGGGACAGCAAAGACCCCTGGAAGTTAAGGAAGGGCATCTGCTCTGGAATTCTCCAGCTGTGGCTGCTGCACTGACTGACATTACAGATGTCCCTCGGAGGTCCAAGCTGCTGAATGTGGCTGCTGGTTCAGGCAAGCCGTCCTGGAACTAGGTTTTCAAGTCCTTGGAGTTGAAACATTTTTTTACTGAGCACATGTGCATGGACCCTTGAGTCCTGAGTCCCCACCGCTCAGAGCAGCTGTGTGTTTGCACATACCACACTTGAACATATATACTCTACATGTACACACTTGCTCGCTAGTGCACAGGTGCACACACACACACACACTCACACACTCACTCATACACACATTCACACACACCCTCCCCAAAACATCTATTATTCAGCTCAAAGTTGGAAATCCCCAGTTATTCATTTATGGCTTTTTTTTTTCTTTTTGCCTCACCCTTCTGCGGAATGCACATCGGAGCCGCAGATGAAAGGGAATGTAAGGGCAAAGGGCCTGAGGTGGGAGAGCTGAGGCTGGCTACTGTCTAGGGCCCCTGATGCTCTGCAGGGAGGAGTGCACCTGCTGAGGTGGGCTCTAAAACTCTGGCCATGTAACAAAGTCTAAGTGTGAGAAGGAGGCAAAGGAAGAAGAGGGGGCGTGGCTTGAGGGCTACAGTCCCAGGCCCACACTCCTAGGGTGTGAATGCAGGAGGTCTGAGGGACCTCAGGAGTTTGCAAATTTATGAATCTGGGGCTCATGATTTCAGAAACAGTGTCAAGTCGGCCATGGTGGCACACGTCCTAGCACTTGGAGGGGTGAGTGGGAGGGTGGATTATCCAGGCTCCGTTTGGCAGGTGGCTCTGCTCCTCTATATCTGCTGGACTTCTTGCAGGGTCGTTAAGTAGGGAGAGGCCAGGGGAGAGAGCATCAAAGCCAGCCTGGGCCAAACAAGGTGAGCTGGTCTCACCATCCAAAATGGAAACCCTCAAAACCTAATACACACTCCTCAAGATTTGGAGAAAGTCTTGGTCACGTGCCAGCTCTGCAGTACCTGTGGACTGGAGCAAGTCACACATCTCCATATCTTGCCCTGGGGATGGCACACAGGGTCAGGTACTCTACCACTGAGCTGCACCCTCAGCCCGAGTTCACATGCCCTTGGCAAACTTTACTTGCATGGTAAAGCTCACTGCCGGAAAGAGTTTGGCACCCAGCCTGGCATGTGGAAACCATGAAGAAAGAATGGTCGCTATTAGCATGATTGCGTGGGGCTTTTTAGAATAACTGCCCTTTCAAACTTGGCGTCGGTGGTAGGAATTGCTCTGGCTAAGTCTAGCTTGCTAACTGAAAATAAAAATGAGAGGCCACAGCGCTGCAAAGCCCCTGGGGAGCCCTGAACCGGGATCCAAGTTTCCCCACTCCCTTCCTCTTCCTGAGCCTCCATAGGATGTTACCAGTACCTGCAGCAATGCCAACCGAAAGCCCGTGGCCACATCCTGCAGGGTGGGGAGAGCCTGGGACAGCGGGCTGTAGTGGTTCCTTCTTGGCTGTGGGAATCAGGTCAGTAGGATGAAGGTCTGAAGAGCTCCCGCCACAGTGGGAGAGCTAACTGTGGCTTGCAGGGAGCGGGGTAGGCAGCCCCCATCCTTCAGGAACTGCAAGTCCCTGCTCCCGATGCAAATGGGTAGGAGGGAGGTCCCAGAAGTGAGGGAAGCGAAGTCATAGTCTGCCTTTCATGAATGTGTTTTTTTGACAGAGGCAGGAGCACCAGGAAAAACATCCTTACCATGGGAAAACCAAGAGGATGACGATGGCAACCAGCAACTGATGGAGCCCAGTGAACCTGGAGCGCAGAGAGTGGGAGACGATTGATAGGCAAAGGACAGCGGATGCACAGGTTCTAACCCCACCTGTCACCCACGGGGAACACAGGCCTATGGTGTCAGATGCCTTGGGTCATTGAGAGACTATAAAATAATCAATGTGTATGTATGGGTGTCTGCATGTGTAAGTTAGGTGCCTGTGGAGGCCAGAAGAGAGAATCAGATCCCCTGTGAGTTGCTTGATGGGAATGCCGGGAACCAAACCTGTGCCTTCTACAAGAGTGGCAAGAGCTCATGATGGCTTAGCTACCTCTTCAGCCCTATGCTGCCTCTAATTTTAAGACTGCAATACAGACACTGAGTCTAAGATGTTATTGATGGAAACACGCCCTGATATTTAATAAAAACAGAATATGTCATCCTAGCTGCTCAAGAGGTTGAGGCGGGAGGATTATAAGACCTGCCTGGGCTACAGAATGAGTTCAAGGCTGGTCAGACGATGTCTCAAAACAGAACGCTGGAAACGGATCAGGTGCACTGCACTTGCTTAGCATGCTTGAGGCCCTGGGTCTTGGCACTACTCCAAAAAGTAAAAATAAGTAAGTAAATATATACAATAAAGAGAGGAAGGATCTTGCTTTAAAAGATGTCCACCTGAGAGTTCACGAAAGATACCAATAGGCTGCTGGACTTGACCCTGTGCTGTTCTCGCTTGCACGACAGCTCACAGTGGGGTCCTACAAATGAGTTTCCTGGTTTCTTTAGAAGAGCCGGTCCCTCTCTCATCTTCATATGAACCAGGGATGAGCAGACACTGTAGAGAAAAATGTGGACACCAGACAAGTGACAGCAATAGCAGGGGTACTTAGGTGGTGGTTCCTGGGACTCTGAGTAGGACCCACAGGGATCCTGAGTCTTATTAGACCAACAGACCAGACATACCCACATGCATAGAGGCCCAGAGAGGTAAAGGTATTGGCTCACCTTTACACAGCAAGGCAGCCCCGAGCCAGCCCAGGGCCCGGTTCTCCTTATTCCCATCTGCCTTTTCTAAAATTCCTGCCCTGGTGCAAATGAGATAAAGATAGGGTCTCAGAATTTGCCCCATCTCCTATCGTGTCCCCTCCCCCCACCATTGTCCCCTCTCCTGGCCCTGCCCCAGAGAAAAGCATTCTTATTTGATTCACAAGACTTTTATATTTTATTAGTAAAATACAAAATGGCACAGACATTGGTAATGATGCTTGAAAAAGTCAAAGGATTGACCAACTCCTTCCGAAGTCCTCCCCAGACTGTCTTAGCAACACATCCTGTTGGGGAGAACCCACAAAGTCTAACAAGGGGACACACGCCCCAGCAGCTTTCTCAATAGGGAAGTGGGCGCCCCAACCCTTGAAGGCTCCGCACTGAAGGAACCAGGACAAAGTGCACCCAGGCTGCTGTTCCTCCAGCCCACAATGCCAGACCAGAGCCTCCCACAAGCTTTCCAGGAGGGAGGGTCATCGAGGGGCTTGTTTCCTCACTCTGGAACAGAGCCAACTGTCCTGAGTTTCTACCTACCAAGGAGTGAGTCACTTCTGGGTGAAACCCGCCCATGGGAGGCTCCGAAGGTGGAGGGTTGGGGCTATTAGGGGAGCAGGGTTGGGAGAGCTGCCACCAAGGACCCTGGCGGGGGCAAGGTCTGTAGGTCCAGCTCCAGCTATTGGAGTACAGGTATTGCCCAACTGTTCCCTGCTGGACATGCTGGAGGCTTTAGCAGTCACTTTGTGCCCAGGGCAGAGTCCCTTCCAGAAATTTTCACAGGACTCTTGGAGAATGTTATGGGAGTTCTGGCCCTGCCTGTAGCAAAGGTGAGACCTTGGTGTGAACTGGGCTTTCAGAGCTGAGAGAGGACCCAGCCTCCTAACCATGAGGGCTGGGCACATCCACGCTCAAGTCCCTAAACTTCAGTCAGGTGTGCGGCCGCTCCTGGTGCTTACCCTGGATCCTCTGCCTTCCAAGGGCTCGTCATCCTCTCCTGTGGCTTGTCTTTCAGGCAGGGCGGACCTGTGACTGTCATCTTGGTGCGTGGAGTAGGGGTGCCTAGTGAGGACACAAAGGGACCTTCTGAACTGGCCTCTGTTCCTGCAGGTCCCCAACTCAGCCTCCGTGTGGGGGCCCACAGGGTACGACCTGAACCCTCAGGTCACCCTTGTCCATCCTCAGAGTCACAGGGTGCAAAGGGGTCAGTCCAGTGGGATGGCAGTGACTGTCGGCGTGGAGAAGGGCTGGGGGCTGCATCCAGGGATGGGGACAAGGATCTCAGAGGAAGTCAGGGCCGTGGGGTATTGCCATCTCTGGGTCACGCTTCTTTTCTGTTACAGATGTGGTGCCTTGCTGTGCAGGTAGTTGAGTGGGGTCTAGACCCAGCCTTCAGATACAGCATGCTGTCCCTGCACAGTCTAGGGAGGAGGGCAGCAAAACCCCACGCTAGCTCATCTCCCTTCCCAGAGAGCTCCGGGAGACACAGTGGTAACCTCATGCAAGAAAAGACACGACAGGGCATTGGTGGTGGTGGTGACGGTAGTGTGCTCTGTACAGGGGACAGGGAGAGAGAGGAGAGATAGCACCGCAGCTGGCCAGGGACGGGAAAGGGCTGGCGAGTGCAGCAAACCCAGGAAATGTGAAGAGGTCAGAGGGACAGGCAAATGGGCCTGACCTGCTGCTTATGAGATGGGTGGACTACGGTGCTCACAGGAGACAGGCGTCACGGGGCCTGGGAATTCAATAAATAATTGTTCACTAGGGTTGGGGTGTCAAGGGCCCCTCCAACCAGCCAGCAGCAGAGGAGTCTTTCAAATATAGGTGAGCTGGAAGGTCACCGGCTGTCTCTGATAAGGGGGTAATGGTAAAGGGTGGCCTCCAGGGCCTGAACTCGGGGCTTGGAGCACGTGGCTCCCAGAGGACCCAGCCTCCCCATTCCCACTGCCTTAGTTTGGGCGAAGGTGAGTATGAGGATGGGGGTCCCCGACAGCTGTCTGAATCGAACTATGGACACAGGCAGGCAGGCAACTCACACTGGCACCAGGACATACGAGTTACTGCCGCAGCTACGGGGGACATAGCGGAGGCCTTCCACCATCTCTCCTGCCATTTTGCGGGGACAGCCCTGGAGGCTCTGGTAGGCAAACATGGCCACCCCTAGACAGAAGAGCAGGCCCAGGAAGGCCAGCAGCCCTACTGCCTGCCTCCGGGTAGCTTCCTGGGTGTCAGGGACAGGAGTGATAAGTACACTCAGTTTCTGGGGGTCTGCAGAGGCATGAACGGGTTCCTCTGCCTTGGGAGGCCAACTGCCTGAAGTCACCATCTCCGGGCTGGGGGTCCCTTCAGAGGAGACAGGGGTCACTGAGGAATGGACTATGTTGCCAGGCCCCCTCTCCTGGAAATCATCAGTATGAGCTTGATTTGTTTCCTCAGGCCCTAGAGACTTCTCTGTACTGGGACTCTGTCCCTGGACCCATGGGGTCTGGCTTTTAGACCCAACATTCTCCTCTGGGGTTGAATGTGAAATGGTGGGTGCCTGGGTAGATGGGGCTGTAGTGGTTGGGGGCTCAGTAGCCTTCTCCTCAGCCCTGAGCCTAGATTCAGATTGGTAGACAGCAGAACTCTGCCGAATGGTGGTAGAGATGGCAGACTCCTCAAAAATCCCAGTAGTTTGAGGCTTGGCCGAAAGCCCTGCATCCTGTGCCTTGGAAGTAGAGGGAGATGATCCAGTCACTGCTGCTGGCGGCTCCTGGGAAGTCCCCATGGGGCTCTGGGCCTCTTGGGCAATAGTAGTCAGCTCCAAAGTAAGGCCTTTCACTGTGACTTTGGGCTCTGCCAGTGCAGATGGGGACAGTCCCCTGGAGGCCAGGGTGATCCCAGGTGTCACATTGACCAACTTCTCAAACTTGCCATTATTCTGACGCTGGGCAGCGGCCTGGTCGTCAAGGTGCTTGATGGCGTCTTGGACCCATTTCTCCTTTGGATCAGCACAGAAGAGTCTGTGCTGTCTCGTCTCCAAGCTATAAGGAAGACAGTGGCTGGTGATGCCCAGATTCTAGACAGCCAGACTGGAGTGGTGTGGGGCACTCCCCACATGTCCAGTAGGCAAGCTGTCCTGACTTGCTAGTGTGAGCCATTGGGCCACTCCATCCCCTATGTCTCCTAGCCCTTGGCTGAGACATGAATGTCTGTGGTCTGGAGGGGACCACCACCACCACCTCGAAACAGGCATTTTCAGCCTGAGGGACTTCCCCTTTCTAAACCAGGAAAGTCCCGGGTAAATGGGAACCCTGCTTCTGTGTTATCATTAAGCAAAATAAAGGGTAAAGGACCTAGAGAAAGACAGAGCAGACATCATAACAATTACAGCATTAATCACCACATCACTACCACAAAGGCCAGCCGCTCTGGACTTTGATCTGGGGATGCCATAGGTGTTCCCTGACACCAGCGACGTGACAAGGCGGGTTTCCTCACTCTAGAAAGATCCTGTGCATAAGCTCCCTGTCCCATGGTGATGGCTGCCCTCTGGCCCCCAACTTCCTCCTCTAGGCTTTGTCCTCAGGCTGAAGCAACTTTTCAGAGCCAAAGCCGTTCAGCATCCTCACGGGGATCTTGAGTGTGGTCTAAATCTGGAGCCTCCTCCTGTGACGCTGTGTCTGGCTGCTTTGCCCCCAACAGCAGCTCAGAGCTGATTACCGGTCCACGCTACAGCCTCTGCAGGTCATACAGCCTACACGCATTGCAGCCGCCACGCTAACCGCATTTAACCAGCGGGGGGAAGATGGCGTGGACAGATAAAGAAGTGTGCCCAACTGCAAGGGTGCCGTGTTCCCCTCTTCCACTTTCCTTGGAAGACTGAAGTAACTATTTGGGGGGGGGGTATCTGAAAGAAGCCATTCGTGGTGGGGAAGCAGAGAGGGCAGGCAGGAAGGCAGTTTTGAACCTCACTCCTTGGGGGAGCTGTCTAGGGGACAGGAAGTACGGGACTTCCGCTAGCAGAGCCCGAGTTAAGATTCCGGCTATTTCCTGCATGGCTAAGGTTGCTCAGGGGTCTCCATCAGTCCCAGGGAAGATTCAGACTGAGCAAATGGGCAATACCGTGTGCCCCAGACAGAACAAGGGACCAAACTGGCCAGGTAGAAAATGACTACTGACTGGGCCTGTTTCCTCCCCAGTGGCCCCGAGGGCTCTGGTCTTTTGCCGCTTGGTGACAGCCATCCGTGTCCCTTCCAAGGGCTCCGCCACCCACTTTAGTTCCTCTGCCTCCTCTTACCCTCCTGCCACCCATCTCCCAGATGAGGAAACTGAGGCGTAGAGGTAGGAAGTGACCAGGGCCTCTGGTTGACCTGCTGGAGTCTGGATTCTGCCTCTGGTAGACCACCTCGCTCAGCCTCCCCACGGGATCTAACGGGCCGAGGGCTGTATAGACAGGCCTGAAAGGAAGCACCACCCTGGCTACTGCCCTGGACCATAGCAGGCATTCCTCACCTCTGTTTGCCACTGATCATAAGGTCAGTGAGGTAGCTTGTGGGCCTGCAACAAGGTTACACTTGCCAAGGCCTTTGGCAGGAAGCCCAGGGTGAGGCAGGCAGGAGAGGGTTGGGAGGTCCCAGGGCTGTCTGAGGACCCAAGTGATACGCGATACGTACATGATGGCCCGCTTGCCGCAGGACTCCTGATTCGGCCGATAGTGGATGAGCAGAGCTACAGGGATTGGTGAGGTCATCTTGTGGCATGTGATGTTGCATTTCGTCACGCCGAGGTGTTGACCTGAGTCCACAGAGGCCCCCAGTCAGTAGGACGCTTGGGTATCTGGTATCCCACCCCATTTCAGCCTCTCCCAGCTATACACGCAAGCCAAAGCCCTTGACCCACATCTGACTCACCCCTTTATAACCTGCTAGACAGCGAGAGTCTGCTCTGTAGTTGTTTTGGACTTATAAAAACAAAGCTTTATTCAAAACGTTCCTTTTGCCTGGCATGCAGGAAGCATTTAATTGTGTGTGTGTGTGTGTGTTTAAGACAGGGTCTTTCTACATAGCTCTGGCTGTCCTGGAACTCATTAAGTAGACCAGGCTGGCCTTGAGCTCACCAACATCCACTTGTCTCTGCCTCCTGAGTGCTGGGATTAAAGGTGTGCCCAGCCTGGAAGGGCTAAGTTTTAAAATGAAGTCATAGTAGGGGAGAGGAATCTAAGTGAGACACAGACCTGCCTACGGTTACCATGGCCTGTACGGTGAGGGAGTGGCCCTGCCCAGTCTTGATCCCTGGCCTGTGGCGTTCCCTGCACTGCCCATCACTGTCTTTGGCATAATAAAGCATGTACTTAGCCATCACCTGCGCCTTACTCCTCCTCCTCACTCATGAATCAGGTACGTGGAACAGGTAAACTTACCTGCCTGGAAATTAGGGGGCAGGGGTCTGCTGAGCAGGTGCCCCTATGCTTTGCAGAATGAGTCTGAGATAAGTTCAGGAGAAAAGGCAGGGGTAGAATAGGGGTCAGGGCAAGCAGATAGCTTACTCAACAAAAGCCCCTGGGCAGGGGTTTCTGTTAATGGATAAACCCAATTATCTAATATAAGCATTTGACGGGTTTTTTTTTTTTGCATTCCATTTCAAACCACTTCTAAATCAGTGGTTCTCAACCTTCCTAATGCTGCAACCCCTTAATACAGCTCCTTGCGTCGTGGGGACCCCAACCATAAAATCACTTTCATTGCTGCTTCACAACTGTAAATTTGCTGCTATTATGAATCGTAATGTAAATATCTAATATGCAGATGGTCTTATGCGACCCCTGTGAAAGGGTCATTAGACAACCCCCAAAGGGGTCGCGACCCACAGTTTGAGAACCACTGTCCTCGATGTCCAGCAGCGTGTCCTGTCATCTTCCCAATGTGTACTCACGGAAAATGGGGAGAAAAACGAGAACGAGTTAGGGTTCTAGATCTGAGTAACGGTCATGTCGAACATCTAGAACCCAAGATTCCCCAAGAAGCAAGCGGTGTGGGGAGTGTGCAAGCTGATCTGGCTTAGTCTTTACGACCTGGGAGCCTAGTTGTTCCCCAGCTTCCACTAAAGCTTGTGCACAAATACTGACATGCACACAGATGTGCAAACACACTCCATCTTGCCAAGCATGGACACAGGAGGCTGGAGGTGAAGCTCTGGGATATAGTGCTTGCCTGGTATGCGTGAGGCCGGTTGCCGTCTGTACAGCCCCTAAGAAAGAACTAGCCGAAGGCAAGTACACACCCGGACTTCCTAACCAGCTCATCCACCTCCGCATCGCTCCCGGGCCACGGGCCACTCACTGCACATTGTGGGAAAGGAAGCTTGGGCTGTGGGTCTGAGCTGGGTCATCAAAGGCCAGCACCAGGAGCCCCTGAACTCACTGGGTTCAGAGAGTCACCGTACTGTCCTCTCTCCCCGAGAACCAGGATGTGAAAGTCACAGTGTAGGCCTGGGGAAATGGTTCAGTAGGTGAAGCGTTTGCCACACAAGCTCGAGAACCTGGGTTTGATGCCCCAGACACCGGGTAGAAAACCAAGCATGGCAGTGTGTGCTTGCAATTCCAGCACTGGAGAAGCAAAGGCAAGCAGATGGCTGGGGCTCACTGGCTAGGCAGTAGAGACCAATCAGTGAGCTCCAGATACCAGGGAAGAGACTGTCTCAAAAACAAGGTGGACAGTGGAGAGTTCCTGAGGAACAACACGGGGGCTGATTTCTGACCTACACACACACAGACACACACACAGCCCCCTACTCAAATTACAGTACAGATTGGTAACCCTCTTCCAACCCCAGTAGACCTAAGAATAATTTAGCTGCATGTTGCATGTGTTCACTCCACTTTGCTCAAGTCCCTTGGTGGCCACTCCTGCATGGATCTGGCAGATACGTTCCTGAGAAAGCCCTGGGGTGACCTGCAATAGGAGGAGGAAGGGAGGATGTGTGACAGGAAGACCCCAGATTAGGATAGAGAAGACCATTGCCACCAGCAGAGCTGGCACAGAGCCACAAAGTCAGCCTCTGCTACGAGCCACTTGGCTGGGATCTACCAGGACAGCTATGTAACTGACTCGGGGAGGCCTTTTCTTTCTTCAGGACCAAGTTCTCATTCCTAGAAAAGGAGGCAGTGCTCCTGTGTGGCTAGCCATCTAACTGTCCGCCAAACGAGTCGTCAGGGACTCAGAGACTGTGTCTATCTCGCTGTTACCGTGTATCTCTGCACTGACCACAACACGGGTACTCAGTAAATATTCATACAATAAAGTAATATCTCAGTCTACTTGTCGCTGCTTTAGATATATCCGCCCACCAATCCACCCATCCATCTATGCACCCCTTTACTTATCCATCCGTCACCCACCCATCTTTCTATCCTCCTACTTCCTCTGTCCTCCTCGCTACTTCTACTCATCCCCATCCATCCATCTACCCACCCTACTCACCCACCTGTCCATCTGTCACTCTTTCAAAGTCCCAGCCTCCCCATCAATTTTTTTTTCACCCACTGCCTGTCACCAATCCACTCACCAGTCATCCATCCATCTACTCATCCA